TACCTAACATAGGTGGTGAGCCAGCCTTTGCTACATCACAAGTAGGGCCATGTCACACTTTGTATCAGCCAGCACCCATGCCAGATGTTGTTGGCAGTGAAACAGGGTGCAATCCATTCATGATTGGGGTGGAGCAGGGCACCCATGGCCCTTCTATGCCAGCCATGCCTTGTATGCCAGCCATGCCTTGTTTGCAAGGCAACATGCATCATTTTGGTAGCACTGAGGTAGGTTTCCCAACCATGCCTGTTGTGGAGCAGGGCCCTCATGGCCCAGTGCCAGTCCCAGCCATGCCTTGTTTGCAAGGCAACATGCATCATATTGGTAGCACTGCAGTGCCAGTCCCAGCCATGCCTTGTTTGCAAGGCAATATCCAGGACATTGGTAGGATTGATGTAGGTTGCAGACCACCCATGCCTGTTGTAGAGCAGGGCCCCCATGGCCCATGTACAGTGCCAATGCCATCCATGCCTGGTTTGCAAAGCAACATGGCATTTCAGCCAGATCAGACAGCACCCATGCCAATGCATAGTTTTGGCAATGAAGTAGGTTGCAGACCACCCATACCTGTTGTAGAGCATGGCCCCCATGGCCCATGTACAGTGCCAATGCCATCCATGCCTGGTTTGCAAAGCAACATGGCATTTCAGCCAGATCAGACAGCACCCATGCCAATGCATAGTTTTGGCAATGAAGGAGGTTGCAGAGCACCCATGCCTGTTGTAGAGCAGGGCCCCCATGGCCCATGTACAGTGCCAATGCCATCCATGCCTGGTTTGCAAAGCAACATGGCATTTCAGCCAGATCAGCCAGCACCCATGCCAATGCATAGTTTTGGCAATGAAGTAGGTTGCAGACCACCAATACCTGTTGTAGAGCATGGCCCCCATGGCCCATGTACAGTACCAATGCCATCCATGCCTGGTTTGCAAAGCAACATTGCATTTCAGCCAGATCAGCCAGCACCCATGCCAATGCATAGTCTTGGCAATGAAGTAGGTTACAGACCACCCATGCCTGTTGCAGAGCATGGCCCCCATGGCCCATGTACAGTGCCAATGCCACCCATGCCTGGTTTGCAAAGCAACATTGCATTTCAGCCAGATCAGACAGCACCCATAGCAATGCATAGTTTTGGCAATGAAGTAGGTAGCAGCCAAGCAATGCCTGTTGTGGAGCAGGGCCCCCATGGCCCATGTACAGTGCCAATGCCATCCATGCTTGGTTTGCAAAGCAACTTTGCATTTCAGCCAGATCAGCTGATGCATATTGGTAGCACTGAAGTAGGTAGCAGCCCAGCAATGCCTGTTGTGGAGCAGGGCCCCCATGGCCCATGTACAGTGCCAATGCCATCCATGCCTGGTTTGCAAAGCAACATTGCATTTCAGCCAGATCAGCTGATGCATATTGGTAGCACTGAAGTAGGTAGCAGCCAAGCAATGCCTGTTGTGGAGCAGGGCCCCCATGGCCCATGTACAGTGCCAATGCCATCCATGCTTGGTTTGCAAAGCAACTTTGCATTTCAGCCAGATCAGCTGATGCATATTGGTAGCACTGAAGTAGGTAGCAGCCCAGCAATGCCTGTTGTGGAGCAGGGCCCCCATGGCCCCCATGGCCCTGAAGTAGGTAGCAGCCAAGCAATGCCTGTTGTGGAGCAGGGCCCCCATGGCCCATGTACAGTGCCAATGCCATCCATGCTTGGTTTGCAAAGCAACTTTGCATTTCAGCCAGATCAGCTGATGCATATTGGTAGCACTGAAGTAGGTAGCAGCCCAGCAATGCCTGTTGTGGAGCAGGGCCCCCATGGCCCATGCCCAGAGCCAGTGCCAGCCATGCCAATGCAAAGTGCATTTGCTGAACCATGCCCCAGTGCCTTGGAGCCAGGGCCATTGAGACAATTCCAAGTGCACCAGTGGCTTGCTGAGCATGATGTAGCAATCACACCAGCTAGTGACCCATTGGCAGCTCCAGCCAGCAGCAGTGGTGTCACAACTGTAGGTGACCAGTTGGTTTTGCCTGCCAGCCAGTCCAGAAAGCAAACATGTGCTTCCATCATTAGGCCTTCAGAAGATCTAGCTAACAGTGGCCTTACCCTGAGGCCAGCCCTGGCACACATACCTGACTGTGCAACTTTAGCAGCAACTGTTGAGCCTAATTCTGGGCAGTGCTTGTGGGAGTGGAGCAGGGTTGCAGATAGCCTAAAGCTGAAGGATGAGAAAAGCTTCAGGTTTTTTTCGCAAAACCAAGAAAAACATGCAAGTGAGATGATTGCAGCTGAACTTACTGCCAACCAAATCCAGTACAGGGGATGGGGTGACAAAGGCAGGGGTGACCATGCTGTTGGCAGTGCTGCACTTATCATGCTCCTCACTTTGATCAGCAACACCAAGCCTTACTCAGCAGAGTCCAAGGCCAAAGCAATCAAGCTGATGGTTGGCCTAGTGCAGCTCTCTGTAGCAGCATTGGAAATGGTAGAGGGTTGCCCAGGCATTTGTTATGGTGATGGCAGATACCATGAAAGGCAATTGAGTGTTGGTGCTACAGGTATAGTTCAAAATTTTGAATCTTTGTTGTTGCAGCACAAGGACTTCACTTGGGCTTGGGGCCACTTAATGGTGAAAGGGTTTTGTGGTCACAAAATTGTTTCAGCTCAGAGCCATCCTTGCCTTTGGGATATTTTGGTTTTGCTTGCATGGGCCAAAAATTTCCCATCAACCAAAAAGGTATGGAGATATCTTGGACAGTTTTTATGGCCTAAGATCATATTCCTTTGCTCAAGGATTATTGACAAGTATGCACAAATGAAGTCATTTTTGCCACTGGAGGCAGCACCCTTGTTAAAAACCAAAAAAGGCAGGAACAAAAGAATACCATGGCAAAACAAAGTGCTCTATTTGAGAAAAATGAGAAAAATCAGGCACCATAGGAAGATTGCAGCAACATCTCATGATGACCTCCTTTCAAGCAATTGCATGCTTGTGAGTGCAGAGGAAAAATTGGCAACAGGGCTTTACTCAAGAAAAATCCAGGAAGTGTATCAAAATTGTTATCATTTTGCTGTGTCTTGGGACCCCAGCAGTTATGACATAGAGACACTTGTAGCCATTGTTTTTTCAGCCCAATGTGGCAAGGCTGCATATTTGCCCATCCAAAATTTAAGGCCAGTGCTCAAGAGTGAGGTAGATCCCTCCATCCTGGCTTTGTCAGCTATCAACAAGCTGACAAGGGTGGAAGGCTATAATGAAATCAGGGCCTTGAGCCATGCTCTGAAAGCCATCAACTGGCCCCTTGAAAAATTCATTTTTCCAAAGGACTTGCTATGGAGGCCACTTCAGGATTTTGAAGAAAGGACATGGGAGGATGGAAGGTTCTGGGTGGTGAACACTAGAACTCAAGAGAAGAAACTTCAAATACCAGAGGCATTTCAAATCAAGAGCAGCCCTATGCTAGTGAGCCTGAGTGACCAGGGAGGAATCAATAGAGCAGGGCTTGATTATCTTGTCTATAAATTATCTCTAGCTGTACATGTGCAGTTTGACCCATACCACCGTGGTTGGAATGATGTCAAACTTGCTTTGAAAAGTACCAAAGGAGATTTGTACAAATGCTTTTTGTCATTTGCACTGCTTTTCAATGTAAACTATGGGCCATCAGGGTCCAAGGAGTGGTTCATGAGGAAGCAAGGTTTGGCCCAGGACATCATCAGCTCTTCCTCACCCCATGAGGAACCATTCCTCTCTTTTCTCCCTTGGATCTGCAGAGAAAGAAATATTCCAGAACCTCAGTCCCCAGAAGAGAGGGAGCAGATCTTCAACACAATCCTGGACATGAATAATGTGAGGGCCTTGGGCCCAGTGGTGAAGTTGATGAGGTGGTACAGCTGGTGGGAAAGTGAAAAATATTTTGAAGGTGAATGCTGGGCTACAAAATTTGTCATGCTGTGGAAAACAAAAAACTGTAGCCCCACCAATGTGGCCAACTATGTCAAACCTGAGGAGACACTGAGCATTGCAAAAACAGGACTGACAGACAAACAAGAACTTCAACAGCTGAAAATGAAGCATGGCACTTGGGCCCTTGCCCCACTTTTAGTTACCCCAGCCAGCATGTTCCAAAAAGATCTCATCAAATTTATAGCACAGCCTTCATGGACACATCATGCAGACAGGTCTAAATACATACTCACCACAGACCAAGTTGCTAGGTACACAGTGGAGAAGTGTAAGGGTGGGTGGGTGGATGAACTATATGACTTGGTCATACAAGGGCTTTTGTCCCCAGAAGTTTTGAAAAACTTTACCCCCATCAAGCCACTTCAGCAGAAACCAAAAAAAAAAAGGTTAGACTTTCATTTCAGCTTTTTGACAAAGTTGCTTGCCAAAAGATCTATGTCCCTAGCTGCACAGTACTTGAGGCCACCAATCAGGTACTGCCCCAAGTGGTCCACATCCCAAGAGGACCAGGCCAGTGCTGAGAAAACAAAGAAACAAATGCAAAGAGATTGGGAAGCCATTTTAGAACTTGAACAAAAATATTGCAGGGGTGAGCACATCCCAGGCATGGAAGCCATGCACTTTTTGAAGGAATCCATTACTAGAGTGTGTTTTTTGATGAATGAGAAAGATTTAATCACTGGCACTGCTGATGCCCAAGTGATGATGCAGTGCCTCATAAATCATGTAGGTTGCACCTCAGTAATTGAGAATACCCACCAGAGTGCTAAAGATACCCTGGGGCAGGCTCGCCATAACCAAAGATCCAGGGTACATAAGTTCAAGGCTTGCATTGATGCCAAGATCTTGCAGAGCAGGCAGATAGATCATGTCAGCATCAATGAAATGGAGCTTGCATTTGCATCTTCCCAAAATTTGCCAAAAGTGCTGCACCTAACCCACCCCAATAGCCATAGGATGAAAAGTGAATTTCAACATTTGATGCAAGCAAAGTCAGGATCTCATTGGTGGCCAAGTACTTCTGCTGTGTCCCAGTTTGAAGAGGCCATGAGCTTTGAATTCTTGATGAAGCATCAGGTCACTCCACAGACCCACCAACTCTCATGCCTGGTGGGGGAGCCAGGGTCAGTGCTTGCTGATCAAGTTGATGGCAATGCTTTTTTGGTTTTGGCCAAAACCACAAGTGGCTTTACAGCTTGGGTTTTGGAAATCTATTCTGAGGTAAGTGAAACTAACCCAGAAGTTGAGGATTTCTTTTTCAAGGTTGTAGACCAAAAATCTGCTTTGCAGCTCAGGCACATCACTTCTTTGGATGGCTATTTGGAAGTCCCTGTGGAGCCAGTCTTGGAACATGAGAATGGTGCCTTGGTCCTCAAGAAAATTAGTGAGCCAGTGCCTTTGCCAAAAGCTAGGGTGCAACAGGGGCTGGACCTTACTGTCAAGGACACTAAAGCAGTTTTGGCAGCCTATGGCATCACTTTGCCAGGTGCACCTTCTAAAGAAAGTCTCTACCTAAAACTAATGGAGATCTTTGCTGGCAGCGAAGCTGAGAAGGCAGAGTTTCTAGCCAGGTCCAGCCTGCAGTCTAAAGAAGATGAGGATGGTGCTTCAGATTTTGAAGATCTCTTGGACTTGATAGAAGAGGATCTTGAAAATAGGAATGATCCTGATGTCAAACAGGAGAAGGCCAAGGTGAAGAGAAAAAAGATGCAGAATCCTAAAGGCCTCATCACTTTGGAACCTCCTACAAGAGGTAGGGGGAGGGGCAAAGGCAGAGGAAAAGGCAGGGGGAGGGGCAGAGGCAGAGGAAAAGGCATGGGGAGGGGCAAAGAGGATTGTTCTGAGCAGGCATTGGTAGCTCCCAAGCCAAAAGCTGTTAAAAAGCATAAATTTGGTAAGGGCAAAAGTAGCAAAAAGAAGACCCCAGTTTCTGCAAAAAACTCACTTTCTGGGCCAGGTTCAGATGTGCCAACTGAAGAGGAAATCAGAGCAACCTTCTCTGAACCCACCAGCCAAATACTAAAGCCCCCTAGCCAGCCTGCCAGCCAGACATCAGAATCTTCTAAAGCTAAAGGGCCACTAGAACCCTCCAAAGAGCCAATCGAAGCACCATCCAAAGAGCCACTGGAAGCAGTTGCAGAACCACTGGAAGGAGAAAAAGAGCCACTGGAAGGAGCTATAGAGCCATTGCAAGCATTTAAAGAGCCAGTATCACCCTCCAGTAATGCATCAGCAGACTTTGACATGGAAGCATTTCTAGCTACTCCCAAAAAGGGAGAGGTGAAGCCTGAGGACAACTTTGAGATGGAGAAGCCCAGCCATGCAGAGCCAAGTGCAAGTGCTGTGCAACCTATTTCTACTGCTGTTTCAAGCAAACCTTCACCAGATTCCTTGCAAGTTGTAGCAGAGCCTTTGCCACCAGACTCCATTCCAAGTGAAAGCCTTGTGCCTCCAGAGCCTGTGCATGTTGATGCATTGGGGGGAGGGGCCAGTAGCAGTAACAGTGGCCCAGCACCAGCTGCAGCTGCTCAGCCTGAAGCTTCCCAGCCTTTAGATTACCAAGCCCCTGAACCTGGACAATCTAAGGCTTCTGGCACAAGAGGGCCAAAGATATATTCAACACCAGCAGCATTTGTCAAAATATCACCTCCAGGATGTTCAATAAGACTCAACAGATTCTGGTTTGCATCTTTAGTTGCTGGTGGTTTGGTGGTTGTGGTTTTGTGTGCCAGTGGTTAGCCAATCATTTCATGTTCTGGGTATGGTTCATTTTATGTTCTAGGTGTGGTTCATGTTTTGCATGTGTTTTTTCTTTGGTATTTGTTGTTTATGCCAAGCTGGGAGAATTGCACTGGTCAGCATGCTTGCCTTCAGAATTGAGGGATGTGATGAGTGGCCTTGTTTTTTCAATTTTCTCTCACATTTGTGTGGCTTTGGCCTTTCTTCACAGCAGCTAAGGTAATGACCATCGGTTCACTGCAGCCTTCGCTCCTATTTTGAAGATAAGCAGCAGGTCAAAGTCCTTTAACTATAAGGACCAGAAGAACTGGTCTCAGATGTTGAGCCAAGTGCATAAATATGCTTGGGAGACTTGGAAAGAAAAACTTTCTGAAAAAACTGGCTACAAATTGCCAGGCCACTCAATCCAAGTCCCAGGAACAGTGGACAAAGAGGTGATGGATAGTGTGGCAGATGCCATTTCCTCACTGCCACCAGTGACCAAATATACCAAACACTGAGATCTGCAAACATGGGCTATGAAAAGTGGCACTGGCAGAGCTGCAGGGATGGGTAGCTGGAAGAATTGGATCACAAGATTGAACCTGGAAACCAGGGGTGAAGCATGATTTTTTGTGGATGATGCATGCACCACTGTATACACACAGATATATGTATACAGATACATTTTGGATATGTTACATGTGCATATGTACATGCATAGATAAGTTTAGACACACCATATATTTGTTAGATTATATTATTTTATATTATTTTTTATATTTGATTTTATTTGATATTATTTTTTTTTATTATTTTTTAATATGTTTTGATATGTTTTGATATTTTTATATATTTTTTGATATGTTTTCATATTTTGGAACCTGGTTCAGAAATGAACCCTGTAGACATGAACCTTGGGATCACAAATGAAAAGGGTTGCGCGGGACGCTTCAAAATCGCAATTTTACCTAGGTTTTGGACGTCCAACGTCCATTTCGTGCGAAAGGGTTGCGTTTCGTGGCGCTCCGGCGGCACCGCCCCCGCCTTAAGAGAGAATAGAAGAAGAGCGAGAGGAGATCTGCAGATGTGAAGGTGTGAAGATCTAGATCTGCAGGTGTGAAGGTGTGAAGATCTAGAATCTGCAGGTGTGAAGGTGTGAAGATGTAGATCAGCAGATGTGAGGGTGTGAAGATCTAGATCTGCAGATGTGAGGGTGTGAAGATCTAGATCTGCAGATGTGAGGGTGTGAAGATCTAGATCTGCAGGTGTGAAGGTGTGAAGATCTAGATCTGCAGGTGTGAAGGTGTGAAGATGTGGATCAGCAGATGTGAAGGTGTGAAGATCTAGATCAGCAGATGTGAAGGTGTGAAGATGTAGATCGGCAGATGTGAGAGTGTGAAGATCTAGATCTGCAGGTGTGAAGGTGTGAAGATCTAGATCTGCAGGTGTGAAGGTGTGAAGATCTAGATCTGCAGGTGTGAAGGTGTGAAGATCTAGATCTGCAGGTGTGAAGATCTAGTATAACGGCTGCTTTTTTACGAAGAACCCTTCGCAGGCGCTCTCGGGAAAAAATATCATGGCATTGAGTAGTTCTTATCATTATGGGGTGAAACCCTCAAATGGGACCTCCATGTTTAATTTGTTTTTGAACGTGGATCAAGTAATAATCAAATTGGCCAGTCTGAAATTTCCCAACACTTAACGCAGATCCTATATTTTTTTGTATTTGGTGTACGTTTAGTAACAGGGGGAAGGGATTATATGTTATACACATAAATATACAATATTACATATACATATACATATACATATACACATAAATATACAATATACATATAAATATACAATATTACATATACATATACAATCATATACACATAAATATACAATATTACATATACATATACATATACA